ACATACTAATTACAACAAATGACATACTTTGTAAATTCCTTCTGATCTGATCTTCGAGTGGAGGTATACTGTTCTGCAGGTCCTAGGTTTGATCCTCCTGCTTCTCAGTACCTATGTGTAAAATGCTTACACGCTAAGTCACAGACTTAGTGAGGCATAAAAAAATACAATAATGCATTTCATAAAATATGAACATGCAATCTAATTATTTCAAATATAATCACAAATATCATATTATTATTCAATCATGTCACATATGATCCATCATAAAAAATAATAACATGATAGCATATAATAACATAAATTCTTTTTATATCTTTATAGGCCCATGTACATTACTGAGAACGTAAGGTATGCGGGTACATTGAGGTTGTGCACATATGCTGTCACTACAACTTGTATAAGGGTCCACTGAGTGGCATGTAAGATTTGTCCCGAATGATCTCATGTATATCCCAAAGGACCTAGTATATGTCCTGAAGGACCTCATATAATAACTCGACTCTTGGCATGCCAACTATACCTATAGCTCTCATATCACATGACATGGGCTTGAATATTTATATATTCCATATACCCATATAATCACTAATTCATGTACTCATGTCACTTCTCTTATAATCACATATTTCTTATCATATATCATGTATCACATGGACATATAATCATCTATATCATGTCATATAGTTTATGTTCACATGAATCATATAACATATATCAAAACATATAAACATATAACACTTATGTATGTACTTATAATGATCATAATATATACATATTCATAACTATTAGACCATCAAATTTAGACATAGGAAATAGACTTATCACAAGTCTTATTTCCATAAAATATATCTATGTTGTAGTATGCACTCACCTTAGCCTCACTTGATCTAAATCAACTTCTATGACTTAATTTTCTTTTGCTCGTTTCTAACTCTTCGATCGTTTCGGAACTTGATTATGCTCAATATCTACACAATCAAATAGTTGATATGCATATCAGAATTCTGAGTATCATAATTCGATCCTTAATAATCCAAGCTAAAAGAAAGGCTTTATAATTTTTCCCTTTTTAATAGTATCGGTACCCGAGGTATGGTACCGATACTTCCTTATCTTTAGTATCGATACCAAGCCTAGGTATTGATACTCTTTCTTGGTTCTGGAATTCTTACTTCAAAATCGTATCGATACTCGACCTATGGTATCGGTACCCTTGGTATCGAATCAATCCTTTAGGTATCGATACCCCTTGAATAACTTGTCCAATTTTTGGCTTATGGTATCGATACTATTCAACCAGTATCGATACCCTTGCTCCAACTATCACTCTATTTCATTTGAAGTATCGATACTGAATGAATCAGTACTGATACTCATAACCCATGAATCACTTTTTAAACCCAAATTTTACCCATATTAACTTAAACCCTTCATTCCTTAATCCCTTTCATACTCTTAAACTCAAATACACATACTTAAATCGATTTATATTCATATAACACACATTTATCTTCAAAATCTCATCTTATTTCTTGAAATCAATAATACTATCAATTTTCCAACATGTTCTAATTTCCATTCTAACACTTCATACTTCTTAATTTATTTGATGACAAGTCAAATTCATTCTCAAACTGTAATTACTAACTCTCTTCCAAGATTTCATTTAGAGACCCACCCCTTATCGTTAATCATTCCTAACTCCTTCATTTTATAGCTTTAAGAGAACTTAAGTTTTTCTTAAGCTTAAGTATCATCTAAGGATCTTAAACCAAACTTAAATTCAACGAATAATACACTCACAAGAAAACTTACCTTTGCTATGGTAGCTCACGGCTGAAAGAAGAAGAAGAATAAGAGTTCTCTGGATATTTCCTTTCCCTTTCTTTTCAAATCTCCACGTGTATATATCCTTACCATATCATATTTTTAATTCATTTATTGGTCAAATAACCATTTTCCCTTCCAATCATCCTTCTTTTCTATTCAATCCTACACAAAATTTCTATATAAGTCCCTAAACTTTTCTATTTATCTACTTTAGTCACTAAATTCTGAAGTTTTACAATTTGGTCACTAACCCAGTGTTTGGGATGTTACAAATCTCACCCTTAAGAAAATCCATCCTTGAATTTTTATTTCACAAAGAGATGGGGTTACTGATTTCTCATGTCCTCTTCACATTCCCACGTTGCTTCATCTACCTTGTGATTCCTCCATAACACCTTGACCAATGGAATAGTCTTGTTCCGTAACTGTTTCATCTTATGAGCCAATATTTGTACCGGTTCTTCTTCATAAGTCATAACAGGCTGAACTTCTATCTTTTCTGGTGTCACAATATGGGAGGGATCAGACCTATATCTCCGAATCATAGAAACATGAAATACATTATGAATTTTCTCCATCTGTGGTGGCAAAGACAATTAGTATGCCACTGGTCCTACTCTCTTAACAATCTCATAAGGTCCAATAAACAGGGGACTAAGCTTTCCTTTTTCATCAAAATCTTAACAATTTCTTCCACGGAGACACTTTTAGAAATACTTTATCTCCAATTTGAAACTCGATTTCTTTCCTCTTGAGATCAACATACGATTTCTGTCTATCCTCAGCCGCTTTAATATTGTTCTGTATCACTTGGACTTTCTCTTCCACTTCCTGAATCAATTCAGGACCAACAACTTCTCGATCCTTAAGCTCATAGCAATTTAAGGGCATACGACACTTTATCCCATATAAAGCCTCATAGGGAGCCGTCTTGATACTTGACTGGTAGCTATTGTTGTAAGCGAATTCGACAAGTGAAAAATATTTTTCCCAAGATCCTTTTAACTCGATCACATATGCTCTTAACATATCTTCCAAAATTTGGATAGTCCGCTGACTGTCCATTGGTTTGAGGATGAAATATTGTGCTAAAATTCAATCGAGTTCCTAACGCTCCATGCAAAGTCTTCCAAAACCTTGATGTGAATCTAGGAACTCGATCAGAAACAATTGAAATAGGTACACCATGCAATCATATAATCTCCCTGATATATAGTTCAACATACTTATTCATGGAGAAATCAGCTCGTACAAGAATGAAATGGGCTGACTTAGTTAATCTATCCACGATCACCCAAATTGAATCTCTTTTATTCAGAGTTAAGGGTAAACCCGTCACAAAATCCATCGTCACATTCTCCCATTTCCATTGAGGGATAGACATTAGTTGTAATAGTCTTGATGGAACCTGATGCTCAGCTTTGACTTGTTGGTAAATCAAACACTTGGACACAAATTTTGTAATATTCCTTTTCATTCCTGGCCACCAATATCAACTCTTAAGATCCATATACATTTTGTTTCCACCTGGGTGCATTGTCAGTGGACTACAGTGAGCTTCTGTTAACAAATCATTCTTCAATTCATCATCATCTGGAATTATCAATCTCCCTCGATAATATAATTTCTCATCAGACTTGATCTCATAATCTTTCATCTCTTCATTCTTTACTTGTTGCAACTTCTTCAAGCACTTTTCACCTTTGGTTTGCAATTATTTAATTCAATCCAACCGTGTTGGCTTAAGTTTTAATTCCGTACATAATGCACCATTACCATCCAATGACAACTTGGCATCTAGAGCTCGTAAGGCTACAAATGTCTTTCGACTTAAGGCATCCGCTACCACGTTTTCTTTTCCATGATGAAAATGGATTACCACATCATATTCCTTTAGAAATTCCACCCATCTTATCTGCCTTAAATTCAATTCTTTCTGGGTCATCAGATACTTCAAGCTCTTATGATCGGTATATAAATAACAACTTTCACCATATAAGTAGTGACGCCATATCTTAAGAGCGAACACTACTGTAGCCAACTCCAAATCATGCGTTGGATAGTTCTTCTCATGTGGTTTCAATTATCCAGACGCATAAGCAACTACCTTACCTCCTTGTATCAGCACACATCCCAAGCCATTATGGGACGCGTCACTATAAACCATGTAGTTCTTGCCAGATTCAGGTTGAACCAATATTGGAGCTTCTGTCAAAATCTTCTTCAACGTTTCAAAACTTTCTTGATACTTAGGAGTCCAAGCAAATACCACATCTTTCCTTATCAACCTAGTTAAAGGTAAAGCTATCATCAAAAAGTTCTTAACTAATCTTCGATATTAACCTGCAAGTCCCAAAAAACTTCAAACTTCAGATACATTCTTTGGAACTTCTCATTCTAAGATGGCTTTTATCTTTTAAGGATCAACACGAATTCCTTCTGCAGAAATTACATGCCCAATGAATGTCACTTCATTCAACCAAAATTTACACTTAGATAGTTTGTCATATAACTTCTTATCTCATAGAATCTGTAAAACTATCTTTAGATATGCACTATGCTCCTCATTCGACTTCAAATACACCAATATATCATCAATGAAAACAACTACAAACTGATCCAAGTAAGGCTGAAATATTCTATTCATCAGGTCCATGAAAGCAGCCGGTGAATTCGTAACTCTTAATGGCATAACAATGAACTCGTAGTGACTATATCTCGTTCTAAAAGACATCTTTGGAATATATTTCTCTTGAATCTTCAATTGATGATATCCAGACTGCAAATCAATCTTAGAAAATAATGAAGCTCCTTTTTAACTGATAAAATAAATCGTTAATTCTAGGGAGGGGATACTTATTTTTTATAGTCATCTTGTTGAGCTGCCTATAATCAATGCAGAGAAGCATCAAACCATCATTCTTTTTTAACAAACAACACTGGAGTTCCCCAAGACGATACACTTGGTCTTATAAATCCTTTATCCAACAATTCTTATAATTGAATCTTTAATTCTTGTAACTCTTTCGGAGCCATTCTGTATGGTGCCATTACAATAGGTGTTGTCCCCAGTATGACTTCTATTTGAAATTCAACCTCTCTATCCGGAGGTAAACCTGGAAACTATGAGGGAAATAAATTTGGGAACTCTCTAACTATGGAAATCTCTTATAACCCTTTCTCTTTGGTTCTAGTGTCCATCACATTAGCAATGAAACCCTGACATCCTTGTAACAATAACTTTTTTGTCGACATCACAGATATTACATTTACCAATGGATTCCATCTTTCACTGAACACTATAACTTTTAATCCTTCTGAACTGATCAACGTTACTATCTTCAGTCAAAAATCAACATTAGCATGATAACGATATAACCAGTCTATTCCTTGTATCACTTTGAATTCGTCAAAGGGTAATTCCATCAGATTAGTAGGGAATTCAATTCCCTGAATCAGTATGGGACACCCTCGACATACCCTATTTACCCGAGCATTGTGTCATAATGGATTTTTCACTATTACATCACTACTAGTGGCTTCTAACTGAATTCCAAATTCTCTCACCAATTTACTACTAATTTATGAATATGTAGAACCCGAATCAATCATTACCACAACACATTTATCATATAATAGGAAAGTACCTGATTATCTTCAGATCATCACGCTTTTCATTGGTCTTGATGTTATACACTCGGGCAGTGAAGCGTAGTTCCTGTTGAGTATAGGATTCAGGCTGACTTCTTCCTCTACCCCTTCCCCTTCCTCTCTGAAACATTGAAGCGGATCGCTCCGACTGTACAGGCTCTCCGGCCCTCAATGGACAATCCCACATATAATGTCCCATTTTCCCACATCAGAAACAGACTCAAGAAATAACTCGACATATTCCGGTATGGCTTCTTCCACAGAGCTGACATTGTCTGACTTGACCTTGATTTGCTCTCCTAACACCAGACCCTACTGATTGAGTCTGTCTAACACTCATCTAATTTGAGCCTCTAGCTGAGGATGCCACCGACTCAGATCTCACCTGAGATCGAAAACCATAATCCTTACTTCTCTTAGGTGGTGCAGAACTTGATGAAGCCCCATCTCTTTTAGACGTTTGGGCTATTTGCACTCCAAATCTTTTATTTTGAGCTCTCTACAGAGCTTTAGCACGTTTAACTACCTCTTGAAACGAGGACAAGTTCAACACGATCATCATTTTTTTTAATCTCAGGCACAAGTTCTCTACAAACCACTCACACGCATTCTTCTCGGTCAAAATCAGATCAGCCGCAAAACGACTTAACTTATTAAACTCGCACTCGTATTCATACATAGTGCGATTCAATTGCTTCAGATTAAAAAACTCTTGCTTCATCTACTTAATGAACTGATTTCTTATATACTTGTGCTTGAACTCTTCTAAGAACAAGGACCATGTCACTTGGTCACTTGTCATCCTCAAAGTGACATTTTTCCACCAAATTCTTACTTGCCCGTGGATCAAGGAGACCATTCCATATAACTTCCCCACATCAGAACAATGGAGTTCATATAACATTATCTTCACATCATTGACCCAAAGGTCCGCAGCAATAGGACCTTCATCGGCTTTACCTTTAAACTCAGGAGCTCATAATCCCTTTAACTCCTTTGCTACATTCATTCTCTGAGTTGAGGGAGCGAGAGGTTGCAAACGCGTCAGGATAGCGTCCAAAGTCCTGAAGAAAACATCTTGATCTTGCACAGGCACTCCAGAAGGTGTTTGTTCTTCTCCTTACCTGGCCAGAGCAGGTGAATTACTACTCTCTGTAGGTCTATAATCTCCTACTTCACTTCCGGAGCTATCGTGTCCGGATATTTAATAAGACATAACCATATAGTTCTATTAACAAAACAACATACTCGTTACCCTATCAAATCAGAAGTTTTTACTATTTTGTTGGCATGTATATATTTAAAGACACTATATACTTCGGTTTATGCCTAGAATCAGCTAAACCATGGATCTGATACCATTAAATGTAACACCCCCAACTCGTACCCGACCCGGATACGAATCTGAGGTGTCACATTTATTTTTCAAAACTTTTACAACTTATAAAAATCATGGAAATTTAAACTTTCATTAACATAAAATTAGTTAATTTACACCAATTTGACCAAAATAATACAAAATCGATCATAACATATATAATTCACAACTTATCTACAAGCCAACATACTAATTACAACAAATGACATATTTTGTAAATTACTTCTGATCTGATCTTCGAGTGGAGGTATATTGTTCTGCAGGTCCTAGGTCTGATCCTCCTACTTCTCAGTACCTACGTGTAAAACGCTTACACGCTAAGTCACAGAGTTAGTGAGACATAAAAAAAATACAATAATGCATTTCATAAAATATGAACATGCAATCTAATTATTTCAAATATAATCACAAATATTATATTATTATTCAATCATGTCATATATGATCCATCATAAAAAATGATAACATGATAGCATATAATAACATAAATTCTTTTTATATCTTTATAAGTCCATCTACATTACTGAGAACTTAAGGTATGTGAGTACATTGAGGTTGTGCACATAAACTGTCACCACAGCTCGTATAAGGGTCCACTGAGTGGTAAGTAAGATTTGTCCCGAAGGACCTCATGTATGCCCTGAAGGACCTCGTATATGTCCCGAAGAACCTCATATAATCCCTCGACTCTTGGTATGCCAACTATACCTACAGTTCTCATATCACATGACATGGGCTTGAATATTTATATGTTCCATATACCCATATAATCACTAATTCATGTACTCATGTAATTTCTCTTATGATCACATATTTCTTATCAGATATCATGTATCAGATGGACATATAATCATTTATATCATGTCATATAGCTTATGTTATTTGATTATATTCACATGAATTATATAGCATGTATCAAAACATATAAACATATAACACTTATGCATGTACTTATAATGATCATAATATATACATATTCATAACTATTGGACCATGAAATTTATACATAAGAAATATACTTATCACAAGTCTTATTTCCATAAAAATATATTTATGCTATAGCATGCACTCACCTTAGCCTCACTTGATCTAAATCAACTTCTATAACTTAATCTTTCTTTTGCTCGTTTCTAACTCTTCGATCATTCCGGAACTTGATTATCCTCAATATCTACACAATCAAACAATTGATATGCATATCAGAATTCTGAGTATCATAATTCGATCCTTAATAATCCAAGTTAAAAGAAAGGCTTTATACAATTTTCCCTTTTTAGTAGTATCGGTACCCAAGGTATGGTACCGATACTTCCCTATCTTTAGTATTGATACCAAGGCTAGGTATCGATACCCTTTCCCGGTTCTGGAATTCTTACTTCAAAATGGTATTGATACTAGACCTATGGTATCAGTACCCTTGGTATCGAAACTATCTTTTAGGTATCGATACCCCTTGAATAACTTGTCCAATTTTTATGGTATCGATATTGTTCAACCAATATCGATACCCCTGCTCCAACTATCACTCTATTTCCTTTGAAGTATCGGTACTGAATGAATCATTACCGATACTCATAACCTATAAATTATTTTTTTAAACCCAAAATTTACCCATATCAACTTAAACCCTTCATTCCTTAATCTCTTCCATACTCTTAAACTCAAATACACATACTTAAATCGATTTATATTCATATAACACACCTTTATCTTCAAAATCTCATCTTATATATTAAAATCAAGAATCCTATCAATTTTTCAACATGTTCTAATTTCCATTCTAACACTTCATACTTCTTAATTTAGCTGATGACAAGTCAAATTCATTCTCAAACTTTAATTACTAACTCTCTTCCAAGATTTCATTTAGAGACCCCTTATCTTTAATCATTCCTAACTCCTTCATCTTATAGTTTTAAGACAACTTAAGTTTTCCTTAAGCTTAAGTATCATCTAAGGATCATAAACCAAACTTAAATTCAACGAATAATCAACTCACAAGAAAACTCACCTTTGTTATGGTACGGCTGAAAGAAGAAAAAGAAGAAGAGTTCTCTGGATATTTTCTTTCCATTTCTTTTCAAATCTCCACGTGTATATATCCTCACCATATCAGATTTTTAATTCATTTATTGGTCAAATGACCATTTTTCCCTTCCAATCTTCTTTCTTTTCTATTCAATCATACACAAAATTTTCCATATACATCTCTGAACATTTCAATTTATCTATTTTAGTCACTAAATTCTGAAGTTTTACAATTTGGCCACTAACCCGATGTTTGGGATGTTATATATCGATACTGTAATGGGGATTATTGATACTCACATGAGTATCGGTACCAAATTGGTATTCTGTAATCTAAAACTTAGCGCTAGTATCGCTACCAACCTCTGATTATCGATATTGGACCTCGAGTATCAATATTGCCCTTGAAAAATACTTGGTTTTTGCCTTTCATGAAGAACAATATCGATACTGTTCTTACATTACCAATACTAATGGACCTGGGTGCTTTATTTTTGAGCACAAAATCATTCCCAAAACTCACCCATTGACTCCTCTAAGTGTATTAAATGTTTTTAAAGTCTTATTTGATGTCTTAGGGGTCAAAAGGTATCAACTTTCATGCTTGTAACACACAAATACAAATTATGCGATGAAATGATAATAACATGCTTACATGAACAAAACATACCATTCATGCACATTTAATGAACTATATGTGGAATGGACAAATTAGAATCGTGTTACCTTGATCCAAAGCTACAGAAAACGTTCTTGAATCACCCAAGAGTGAGTTTCTCCTTACCTCTTGCCTTAGAGCTCTCACCCTTCTCTTGCACTAATTAAGACATGAGAAATGAGTTGCAAACTCATTGAAATTCTTGGAACAAAGCTAAAAATGTTTCCTTGACACTCAAATCCCATAAAACTTGCTAGAGCTCAAAGTACCTTAAACCCCACTAAAACCCGCTTCTGAAAAACTTAGGCAAAACTTGCAAAAATGGGTTTGAATGAAAGCTTGAAGGATGAAGGTTGTGAATATTACCTTAGAATTCACAATGGGTGCTTGGAACTCTTAAAGTTCTCAAGTTGGCTTGGTTCTTGGAGAGGAAAAAATACAAAGAGTGAAGAGAAAGAAGACAATTTTTGTGTAAAAAAAAATGAGGGAAACAGACGTGAAATCATCCCTCTTAATGTGAATTCAATTTTTTTTATTAATTTCCAGTTAGTGCTAACGATTTCATTTTGAAGTTTCTATTTCCAACAGACGAGTCCTATTTTACAACTTGAAGTTGATTTGAAATTTTTTAAGTTAATTCGAGTTTATAAAATTCGAGTCAAATTTTCAAATTTTTGTATAATTTTAATTATAAATATTTATAATATTGTGATTTTATTTGATTTCAATTTCAATGGTTTTTTATAATCATATACAATACATATGTATTTCTTCATATTTTTCATATATGATATGCATATATCATATAGAGCTAAGAGACTAGATTTAAACTTAAAAAAGAGTCCACTAATTACTAAAATTTTTTAGTTATTCGAGTTACTATCCGAGTTGCATTTTACAACTCGAATTGAACTTGAAATTTTTCGAGTCAAGTTGAGTTTATGAAATTACTACTCGAAGTCAATTTGAGTCAAGTCGAGTTTTGCCCACCCTTAACTAATTGGTTCTAACTTAAATAGTTTTCTATAATCATATACAATATACTTATATATTTTTCATATATGATAAATAAATAAATAAATAAATAAATATATATATATATATATATATATATATATATATATTTTGCAGAGTTGATGGATTCGATTCGAACTTGAAAACTAATCTACTAGTTATTAAAAATTTCAAGTTATCCAAGTAATGTTTTATAACTCAAACCTTATTAAAATATTTTTCGAATCGAATTGATTTTATAAAACTACGAATAAAATCAAGTTAAATAAAAATATTTTTATAATCAAATCTTGTCTACTCATACCTTTAAAAATTCTATTTATTACAAAATTTCTAAAGAATATTTGGAGAGATTATTATTCTTTTCTTGTTTGGTCAAGTCAAAATAGTTGAAAGAAAAATCCCCAAAGAATATTATCCAGTAGTAATAAACACCTGCCACACGTCACATTACAAAATAATGATGTGTGTTTACCAAAGCCACTAGGTCAGCCGCCCTGGAGTCAATTTTATTACTCGTAAAAATAATAATTAAATAAAAATTTATATTAATATTGTATAAATTTAATTATTAAAGTTCAAATAAAATAATGCTATTATTAAATTATAATTTAAGTTCGGTCAATATGAAATTATAATTCTTATTCAAATTCAAAATTTATTAATAAAAAATCAAAATTTAGGATAAATTATACTATTGACCACTCAACTATTTAACCATTTTACTTTTACCATTGGTCTTTCAATTTTATCAATTAGATCACCTAACTATTTAATTGTTATCAATAAAGCCACTTGTCTTTAATAATTAACAGATAAGATGATGTGACAGTTACATATTTTAATATAATTATATATTTAGTCCCTATTACTTATATATTTTATCAATTTAATCCTACATTTAATAAATTAAAATAAATTTAACCTTTCAACCAAATGACACATGTCAGTATTTGGTTGGAGGGTTAAATTAACTTTAATTTATTTTAAATCAATAATATTTATGTTCTAGAGATTGATACGTGTCACCCTCTCATTGAAATAAAACAAATCATTAATAATGAGAGGAGAGGGTCTAGGGTTGTAAACGAGCCGAGTCGAGCTCGACTCAAACTCGAAATCATGAACCGAAGCTCGTAAAAGCTCGAAAAGAAAAAAAAAACCTTAAACTTAACTCGATTAAAACCTTAAATTAAAACTCAAATATGAACTTTAAATACATGAATACTTTATACAATATTTAAAAAAACACATAAATGTTAATATTATTAACAAATTTTAAAAAATAAAATCTTAATATATTATATTTTCAAACTGCTCACAAGCTTTTCGAGTCGAGTATCAAGTAGTTTATTTTGGCTCGTTAAGAACTCGAGCTCGAGCTCGAGTCCATTCGAGTCAAATATTTATTGAGCTTTGATCGAGTCGATCTTGAGTAGCTCACGATATATCTCATCTTATTTACAGTCGTATAAGAGACAATGAGAATTGATCTAGGGTTCCATGAGGAACCAAACAAATGTTGAACCGCTGAGTGCATGGATTCCATGTAAATAAAAAAAAAACAGTTCATATAAGCACACTGGCTTTCATGTCACCCTTTCATTTATGACTTAAAACTAAAGTGATGAGGATATGAGCAAATCAAAAGTTTAATGAATAAATTAATTTTTTTTTAAATTTTAGTGACCAAAACAGGAGTGAGAGAAGAAGCGAGTGATGAAATTTATAATTTACGTACTATTATTTGGGTAAACTATACTAACTATCATTTAGAAGAAAAAGGTCTAAGGATCAATATTGAAAAGACAGAGTATTTATGTTCAAACTTCAGTGGGGACCAAAACGATGAAGATGTAGAAGTATGCATAGAAGGACATGTTCTCCCCTCAAAGGATTGTTTCAAGTACCTAGGGTCTATGATACATAAAGATGGGGGTGTAGATGATGATGTAACACACCGTATAAAGGCGGGATGGCTAAAGTGGAGGGCTGCTACTGGAGTTTTGTGTGACAAGAAGGTGCCTCTAAAACTTAAGGGAAAATTTTATAGAATGGCAATAAGACCAGCGTTGTTGTATGGATCAGAATGTTGGGCAACCAAGAAGGATCATGTAAGGAGGATAGAGGTTGCAGAAATGAGAATGCTTCGATGGACATGCGGTAGGACTCTGTGGGATATGACAACAAACTCTACTATTAGGATGTCCTTGGGGTGGTGCATGTTTCTGAAAAATTGAGGGAAGAAAGACTACGGTGGTTTGGGCATGTCCTTAGGCGACTACCGTCGGATGCGGTCAGGAGGGTAGAGTCGATTACAGTCGACGGTACCAGAAGGAGAGGACGACCAAGGCGGAAGTGGGAAGACTGCTTGAGATCTGATTTGATGGATTTAGCCCTTACCGAGGACATGACCTCTGATAGGAAAGTATGGAGACTAAAGACTAGGGTAGTCGAGTAGTATGGGTCACATCTCTCGGGTGTATCATCTTTGTCTTCTTTTAATGCCTTTGTAGTAATTTCCATGAATTCTACTTTTTATACGTTTCTGTTATTGGTATTTATGTATGCTTAGAACTGGGCTTGCTATCATGGACTTCTGTGAAATATTCTCTTCACTTTTAAATTTAGTCGGGTCTTACGTTTCTGTCTATATGCAGAGATTTTTTCGCAGGGATTTATTTGCAGGGATTACTTCCCGTTTCGAACGCGCATATAATATTAATGATATTTATGACTGCATATGAATATTGTTCAACTATGTATTTATGTATTTATTTATACATGCTTTGCATTTTATCTATATTTTTAATTTTCTGACTGCCGGAAGTCTTCCACGGAAGCTACTCTCAACCTGGCGTTGGGGGCAGCCTACTACCCTACCTCCCCCTTACCCCCATTGCATATGGGAATTGGGTTTTGTTGTTGTTGTTGTTATACTAACTATCATTTTATTTTACTTTTTCTGATTTTTATCACCTAACTTTTAGAAGTTATATTTTGATCACATATATTATCAATTAATCACAAAATGTTCATTCGAACACTAACTATCGTTATATTAATATCGTGACACATTAACAAAAGAGGTTAATTTCTAATTAACCCTTGTTCTTTAATTAAAATATAAATTCAGTTAAATCTTTTTTCCCATATGATCCTCTTCAAAAAGAAAAATTATTTATTTTCTCCTAACCAAAATGAATCCTAGCCATTACACCGTCTCCGCCCAATTCACCATTCCAGTAACAAAAGCCACCAAATTGAAGTCCTTTGTTTGTTTCCTCTTATGCTTTCTCAGTTTTTTTATGCAAGAAAAAAACTCTCCCTGACATTGTAAAATTAACCCAAAACTTTGAACTTTTCCTTTTTTCTATTTCTATCCTCAGTCGTCAGACGATTATCAAATCCAACTCTGATATTCTGCTCGCTAAATGGAGCCTCCCCACAGTTGAGATTTACAATCGAAGCCATATATATAATTAAAATACAATAAAATTTAAAATCTTTATAAAATCCATTACTAATATTTTAGAATTTATTTAAATACATAATAATTGAAAACTATATACGGACAGAATACCATATAGTCCGAGTAACATAATCTAAGAAAACATGCATTGTGAAGTAAATGTAATAAAGAATACATGATGCAGTTTATGTTGGACGCAGATAACAGCAATGACGCACAGATGTGTATTCTGGATATACAACCGTCTATCTTTTATCTTTCCAACGGTTCTTGAATCGCATCAATCCGATATTTTAGTTATTATTATTATATTAGGAATTAGAGTTAAATCATGTTTAGTTTGTTATTATTTTATTCATTAGTTATTTAGGAATTTTAGAACTCAACCCCTATATAAATTAGGCTTCATTTAACTTTTTGAAAGGCAAATTTCTTTGATTAATAATACAACAAGAGTTCATTTTCTGCAAGTGTTGATTGTATTGTGCCTTTGAAGCTTCTTCTCCTGGAGTTCTTTCAAATTCTTGTGAGAGAGATTAATCTTCACACTTCAATTTGCCTTTTCATCGCGACTAGGAGGGTTCGATAGGACACTTAGAGTCATATTATCGAGTTTGCCTTTTCATTGCGATTAGGAGGGATCGATTGGACACTTATCTATCTATTTTCTACAAATCCATCCTCACCATCATCTTCTTTACCGTTCACCTTCATAAGAGAGCCACATTTGTTGAAGAATTAAACCTAGAAAGCTCTAGACTCGATGAAGTACAAAGGGGGATGAATAGTAGAAGGTGACTCCCATACGAAGGTGAACGGTGAAGATGATGATGGTGAGAATGGATTTGTGGAAAATAGATGAATAAATGTCCTATCGAACCCTCCTAGTCGCAATGAAAAGACAAACTCGACAATACGGCTCTAACCAACCCTCCTAGTCTCGATGAAAAGGCAAATTGAAGTGTGAAGATTAATCTCCCTCAAGGCAATCAACACTTGCAAAAACGAACTCTCGTTGTATTATTAATCAAAGAAATCTACTTTTCACAAAGTTAAATGAAACCTCCTTTATATAGGGCTAAGTTCTAAAGGTCTTAAATAACTAATGAATAAAATAATAACAAACTAAACATGTCTTAACTCTAATTCCTAATATAACAATAATAACTAAAATTAATGTTTTAACTCAACCTTAATTCCTAATAAAATAATAAATATAATCCTAAAAGATAATACATTATCCTATATTAAATTATATTAAAAATAATTAATATAAATATTGAAAATTCGTAATATTTACAAAATCACATATTAATCTCGTATATAAATTTCTACATGTGTTGTCTTCACTAAAATGAACGTATATTGAGTTTCCGATATCGGATTGATGCGATTCAAGAACTGTTGGAAAGCTAAGAGACATACGGTTATATATCCATAAAACATGTTGATCAAATAAGATTAGGATCTCATTCAAAAAGTTGTCGCAAGTCTGTTGCTGTTCTAATCTTCTTTTCCAAGGCTTGGATGAGTGGATCATTTGGAAGAGTTATTACTTCTTCCTTTGATGTGAGCCTTGCGATGCATGTATCAAATCTAAAACATTAAAAGGAGCAACATTAGAATCGTTTAATGATTCATTCACATTATGCTTACCAAATAGATATGCTTTGAATATTTGAGATTTTGTTTTTCTAATAGGTTTGAGTAGAAACATTAGTCCAAAGAAACATGTATTTTGTACTCTGGTGCATGTATCATGTGCCCTACAAACTCCATTTTCAGTCATCCATTAGCTTCATGAATCAGGTTTACATTTCAAAAACTTGCTTGAGAGGCCGTAAGTCCAATCACCAAACCTGCAAAATATGCCAAGTCCAATAAAAACAGTGAAGTATGCTTCCTCTTCTTTTTTCATCTCGGCCAGACAGATAATATATCTGGCGCTCACATCCTAATCGAGTAACGTGAAATAACATGACAAGAAGCACTGTTTAAAGAGTGGCTTTGGATCAACCATTTCAAGACGATAATCAAGTGATATATGAGAGCAAAGATAAGTTCAAGTCTAAAAGAAATTCAAAGTAAAACTGCATGTGTAACTAAAAGGAAAAGTTTACCTTCTTCAGATACTGCCATGCTATGTTGCACGGGGACGGCAGAGGAAGGGCGTTTCAAGTACCGGAAACGTCCCTGGTACGGGGACGGTCGGGGTACGTACCGGGGGCGTGCCACTGTGGCAGGGTACGTCCGAACAATACGGGGGACGTTTCGGTTTTCACTGAGGACGTTTCGGGGACGACATGTGACTAGCACATGCGTCCCCAGGTTCCATTGACGAAGATAGACTGAACTTTTGAAGCAGGTCTCACAGGCGGAGATAGACTGAAGAGCCTAATGGCTCGGTGGTGGTGATGGTCGTGGATGGTGGACAATGAGAGAAGATTGAATCTAGGGTATTTGTAATTTGAGCCACCCGATAATATCAGCTGGAACAGGGAAGACCCAATATCAACACCACTGTTGAATCCAAAAGGATACTCGATTTCCTCCATATATTTTTCTTTGTACTCTAAAATAAAACAGGGGAGTCAAATATGAGAAAAACAGGGGATCTAAAAAAAAGGTCCCTTTTCCCCTCCCAGGTATGATTAAATCAAAGATGGAAAAAATTATCAACAAAACTAGAAGTTTAAACGAAGAAGAATTAGAAGAAACCCATATATTTTATGCCGAGGGGCGAGGTTGAGCTTGCTGTATTTTTAACCCTCTGCAGGGGAGAGTTTTTCTAGCTTTACAGCAAGTTTGAATCCCCGTCTGAATTACTATTATTGGTATAGCTCTGTAATGACAGTCATGCCCCTCCTCTCTCCATTCTAAACTTTTTATATATTTCGCGCTAGTAATTGTGAAAAAAGAAGAAACGAGATTTTTGTTATGCATTTGGTTATAAAATAAATATAATTTTTTTAATAAAAAATCAGATGCAGGCGTTGGAAATATGTTCTGAGAAGGTTGAAGTTTGGTCTGAAAATGTGCAGTGCAATAGCAGACGTGCATGGCTCTCGTGTAAAGGGCTTCCACCGTTTGCGTGGAACCATTCAACCTTTCAAAGCATTGCCAAGAAATGGGGTGAGCTCATTGCTATCCAAATATGAACTCTATTTATGATTTTTATATATATTTATAATTTTAAAAAATGCTCCAATATTAGGATTTTACTTGTTTGAGTCTTGATATTTGACTTTATTTATAATTTTTATATATATTTGTAATTTTAAAATTATTTTATATGCCGTACCCTTGCCGTCCCCGTACCCTGTAATTTTAGAAATTGCCGTTTCCTGTCCCCGTTCCCGTATCCGTCCCCGTATCCGTATCAGTGCAACATAGCTGCCATGGGATCCTGGTCGTCCACAGTGGCATAGTTCATCATGAGTCCTGATCTGAATGGAAGGAATGTGAGCTATGTAGGGCCAATCATCTCCTCTCTCTTTCTAGCAACGGTTCTCCAAACGCAAGCATGCCCAAATGGTTAGTTTTTTAAGTGTTGTGAGACTCTTTAGGCCCTCAGGCAATGACGTCAGATTATGACAACGTTCTAAAGTCAACTCGAAAAGTGAAGTGAGGTGTTCTATATGGTTCGGAACAGAAGTTAATCCATCACACCGACTAATATTCAGTTTTCGAAGAGCATTTAGATGCTGGATTTCTGGCGGTAAGGAATTCAACATGGGACAATCAACAAGTGACAACTCCGCAAGATGTGTCAAACGAATGACTCCTTCAGATAAAGAGGCAAATCTATCGCACGACATAATCTCAGGACACGGATTGAAGGCGAGCAATGGAATCCATTACCAGGAAACGAAACAAGACTATGACACTCACTTAAAGCCAAACTCTCTAAAGCATTGAGGTTTTGGATAGCTTCTGGGATGTCTTCAACCTTGTCGCAGCAGCTAATGCTCAAGTGTTTAAGCATAGATAGATTATCTAGCTTATTTGACAGACTTGAGATCGGGTAAGGATTCTATCGTCAACTCCTCAAGGTGTGTGATTTTGCAATAAACCACTGGGAAAAATTGTCAAGCTAGAAAGGACAGGGATCTCGAGTGAACCAAGATCGAGGCGGACAAGACTGAAGTAGTTGTTCCTTGTCGAAATTCGAAGCTTTTTGAGGGTTGGAAATCTTGGCAATTCAATTAACCGAGGGCATTTCCTGAAAATCAAGATTTGTAGACGAGGAAAATCCCCCCTTCCGTCGACTGTTTTCCATTTCTCCAACATAGGTAGCGAGTCAAAATAGAGTTCCTCCAATGATGGGGATGGATTAACCACATTTCCATAAAATTCATTGTTAATGCACTTCACAGCATCCATTCCCCTTATTTTAAGAAACTTGAGCAACGGTAGTTCCCCTAGAGGTAGAAGATGTGAACATCTTTTACACTGATCAAGCTTAACTGATACCAGATTCAGTAAATCAATCAACCAATCAGGAAGCCTTAGACCTTGATAACAGCTTATTCGTAAATACTCCAAATTAGAATGAGGTTGGGACAGACAAGAACCACTTCTTCGTTATCTGGAAATTCCCTTGCATTCTTTCCCCAGATCAAACTCAACAATCAGAGATTCGACTTCCTTATCAAGTTGGCACTTTTGGCTTCTGTTGAACGTGCCACATTATCCAGTTCCTTTAGAGAACTCCTTTCCGAGGTTTAACTCTTTAAGCTCGCCTATTCCACAACTCCTTCTAATGCTAGAGTAAGATAAGTTCAAATATGTCAAGTGCACCAAGTTACAAAAGGAATTCGGAATTCTTGTGATGCTTAAGCTTCCGTGAGAACGTGCATTTAAATATCTAAGGTGTACCATCTTTCCTAGCGACTTTGGCAATCCATGTATACCGCAGTCCAATGCTCTCACATGTTTCAAAGAAGGGAAATTGGATTCTGTCAGACAAATGCCACCAAGAATGAGTGACCGCACTGACGGAGCTTTTGATGAGATTCCGTTCTTTGTCTGTGTTATGTATGGCTCATAAAAGGTCTCGTTGTGGGGTTACGAATTATGTGGGTTGGGGGTGTGGGGGCGCAGCCCCGCGGTACGGTACAGGGTTGATTTTGTAATTATGTACCAGGGTTTTCTATTATAAATAGAGATGTAACCTAGACCTAAAATATCATTTGAATAAAACTTCTAGCACCGCCTAGGCACCGAGGACGTAAGCACATTGCCGAACCTCGTAAAATTCTCGTGTTCTTTCGTTTTCTTTACCCGTTTTCGTCAACAATTGGTATCAGAGATGTCAGGAGCAAAATTCGAAGTCGCGAAATTCGATGGTCAGGGTAACTTCGGATTATGGCAAACAAGGGTGAATGATCTATTGGCGCAGCAAGGGATCTTGAAGGCTTTGCGACCTACAAAGCCGGCGTCGATGGATGAGGAAGATTGGGAAGAATTGCAGCAGCGAGCGGCAGGAACCATACGATTATGCTTGGCGGACGAGGTCATGTATCACGTCATACATCTATCGTCTCCAGACGAAATTTGGAGGAAGTTGGAAAGTCAGTTTATGTCCAAATCCTTAACGACAAAACTGTATCTGAAGCAGCGGCTGTATGGGCTGAAGATGCAGGACGATCACGATTTGGCGCAACACGTGAATGTCTTCAATCAAATCGTTTCTGATCTGGCTCGGCTTGATGTGAAAATTGAGGATGAAGACAGAGCGATGATTCTGTTGTGTTCGTTGCCTTCCTCTTACGAACACATGGTGACTACTCTTACATATGGGAAAGAGACTATCAACGTTGAGGAGATTACTGCAGCCTTGTTGGCTCACAACCAGCGGAAGCAGAATGTAGGGGAAAGCTCTCAAGCTGATAGCTTATATGTCAAGGGTAACCGAGATCGTGGACGGAAGCCAGAGAAGGCAGGGTCCGGGAAGCGGAATTCCAGATCCAAATCCAGGGATAAGAAGACGATTCACTGTTACAAGTGCAAGGAGGCGGGACATATGAAGCGAGACTGTCCGAAGTTGAAAAAGCAGACCGATGAGAAGCGTGATGGCTCATCCAAGTCTGTGAACGTGGTCGAGGATGATACTTCTGATTGCAGTGAGGGTGATATGCTTTCTATTTCAATGACACAATTGACGGATGCTTGGATTCTTGATTCTGGATGTTCTTATCACATCACGCCAAATAGGGAATGGTTTTCGACATACAGGCCGGTTAATTCTGGTTCGGTTTATTTGGGTGATGATCGATGTTGCAATATTGTTGGTATTGGTGATGTCAGAATTAAGATGCACGATGGCTCCGTTCGGACGTTGAGTGGTGTTCGACATATCCCAGACTTGAAGAAGAATTTGATTTCCTTGGGCACTTTGCACAAGAATGGTTTTATCCCTAAGGCTGACGAGGATAGGGAAACCATTCGGATTGTTAAAGGAGCATTGACTGTGATGAAAGGCAAGATGACTGCAGGGAATATCTACAGATTGTTAGGGAGTACCGTTGCAGGTGGAGTTCACTCTGTTGAGTTCTGTGATGATACGACAAAATTGTGGCATATGCGCCTTGCTCATCTTAGTGAACGTGGTATGGCAGAATTACACAAGAGAAACTTGTTGCATGGTGTCAAAAGCTGTAAGCTCGATTTTTGAAAGTATTGTGTTCTTGGTAAACAGACTAAAGTCCGTTTCAAGACTGCGAAGCACACAACTCAAGGGATTCTTGATTATGTGCATTCTGATGTATGGGGGCCTTCCACGACATCGTCTTTGGGTGGATCTAGGTACTATGTTACTTTTATTGATGATTTTTCACGGAAAGTTTGGGTGTATTTTTTGAAACAGAAATCTGAAGTTTTGAGAAGTTCAAGCTGTGGAAAGCTGAGGTAGAAAACCAAACAGGACGAAAAATCAAGTGTTTGCGGTCTGATAATGGTACGGAGTACACAGATTCACAGTTCCTACAATTCTGTAAGGAGCATGGGATTCAGAGGCATTTTACAGTGCGCAAGACACCACAACAGAATGGTGTTGCGGAACGAATGAACAGGTCGTTGAATGAAAGAGCCAGATGTTTGCGGTTGAATGCGGGGCTTCCCAAACACTTCTGGGCTGAGGCTGTTAACATGGCGTGTTACCTTATCAACAGATCGCCAAGGGCATCGCTGGCTGGGAAAGTTGCAGAAGAGGTATGGACTGGTCATGATGTTAGTTTTGATAACTTACGGATTTTTGGTTGTCCTGCTTATGTGCATGTACCTGCTGATGAGAGATCCAAACTTGATGCAAAATCGAAGGAGTGCATTTTTCTGGGTTACAAGAAAGGTGTCAAAGGATTCAAGTTCTGGGATCCAGTTACGAAGAAAGTTGTGATTAGTAGAGATGTCGTTTTTGATGAACAGTCTATGTTGCAGCAGAAGCAAGACACGACAGTGGTAGATTTCGAGCAGTTTCCAGTTGAGAAACCAGAAACTTCTCAACCGACTTCTGGTGGTTCCACTACGGATGATTTGCAGGATTATAGTCTCGCCAGAGACAGGGTGAGACTGACGAATATAAAGCCTCCGAACAGATTGAGTTTTGAAGACTTGGTATCTTTTGCACTTACTGTTAGCAGTGATGATCCAGTTACTTTTCATGATGCCGTTACTAGTCAGGAAAACGACAAGTGGATGGCAGCCATGGTTGAGGAGATGGAGTCTTTGAATCACAATCGCACATGGGAGTTAGTTCCCCTTCCTGAGGGTAAGAAGCCGATTGGTTGCAAATGGGTGTATAAGAAGAAACCAGCAGTAACAGAAAAAGAGGGGGAGAAGTTCAAGGCTCGTTTGGTAGCGAAGGGTTTTTCACAGCAGAAAGGAGTTGATTATGATGAAATCTTTTCTCCTGTGGTCAGGCACACTTCAATCCGAGCAGTACTTGCATTGGTGGCTAGTTGGGATTTGCATTTAGAGCAGATGGATGTTAAAACTGCTTTTTTGCATGGTGATTTAGAGGAGCAGATCTACATGCGGCAACCTGAAGGTTTCACTCAACCTGGAAACGAGCATTTAGTTTGCAGATTGAAGAAATCTTTGTACGGGTTAAAACAGTCTCCGAGACAGTGGTATAAACGGTTTGACTCCTATATGATCAAGATTGGCTACAACCGATGTGAGTATGATTGTTGTGTCTATGTTAAGAGCCTTGATGATGGTTCTTTTATTTTTCTATTACTGTATGTTGATGATATGTTGATTGCTGCGAAGAACATGGATGATGTTATCGGTTTGAAAACTTTATTGAGTCAGGAATTTGATATGAAAGATTTAGCTGCTGCAAAGAAAATTCTTGGAATGGAAATTTGCAGGGACAGAGACTCAAGGAAACTGCGGCTATCTCAACGGGGTTATGTTGAGAAAATGCTAGAAAGGTTTGCGATGAGCAGCGCGAAACCAGTTAGCACTCCATTGGCGAATCACTTTAAGCTCTCATCAGAACAGTGCCCTAAGACAGATAAGGAAGCTGAAAATATGGCAAAGGTTCCGTATTCTAATGCTGTTGGCTGCTTGATGTATGCGATGGTATGTACTCGTCCTGATTTAGCTCATGCTGTTAGTCAAGTTTGTAAGTACATGTCTAAACCTGGTAAGCAACATTGGGATGCAGTCAAGTGGATCTTTCGGTACTTAAAGGGTACTGTGGGACATGGAATTGTTTTTGGGAGTCAGCGGGATAATCCTTTGGTTGTAGGATATGTGGATTCAGATTATGCAGGTGACTTGGATAATAGAAGATCTACGACAGGGTATGTGTTTACTCTTGGTGGAGGGCCTATTTGCTGGAAGTCTACTGTTCAATCTGTCGTGGCACTATCTACAACTGAAGCTGAATACATGGCAGCGGCTGAAGCTGCAAAGAAGCTTTATGGCTTACTGGTTTAGTGAAGGAGTTGGGTGTTCAACAAGGTGGAGTTCAGTTGCTTTGTGATAATCAAAGTGCTATTCACTTGGCTAAGAATCAGGTGTATCGTGCTAGAACTAAACATATTGATGTAAGGTTCCACAAGATCAGAGAGTTGGTTGCATCTGGAGAGGTTTTGTTTCAGAAGGTACATACTGATGAGAATGCCGCTGATATGTTCACCAAGCTAGTTACGACAGACAAGTTCAAGCATTGCTTGGACTTGTTGAATGTTTCGAGTTGTTAAAGAAGCAAGGTAACCCAACCCACATTGAAGTTTCCAAGGGGCAGGATATTCGCCAAGGTGGAGATTTGTTATGTATGGCTCATAAAAGGTCTCGTTGTGGGGTTACGAATTATGTGGGTTGGGGGTGTGGGGGCGCAGCCCCGCGGTACGGTACAGGGTTGATTTTGTAATTATGTACCAGGGTTTTCTATTATAAATAGAGATGTAACCTAGACCTAAAATATCATTTGAATAAAACTTCTAGCACCGCCTAGGCACCGAGGACGTAAGCACATTGCCGAACCTCGTAAAATTCTCGTGTTCTTTCGTTTTCTTTACCCGTTTTCGTCAACAGTCTGCAAGAACCCTTTCCAAATGGCGAGGAAGCGCATATCGAATGGGAATATGTAGGTGTCGAATCTTTTTCAGAGACTCAAAACACTCATTGTTGCCGAACATATAGCATTCGAATCTCAGTATAGAAATTGCAAGGTCATAGACAAGATCATGCATTTTACATGTCACCGTACCATCATTACCTTCTCTAACTTCTTGAAAGGACGACCTCCAAGTTAACTCGAGAAAAATCTCATATCCAATTTCATGCAAATCCCTTCGTCCTCTGCAAGGAACAAATCCATTTGCTATCCATAACTCTATCAACTGAGATTTATCCATTTCACAGTCTTTCGGGAATATTGAGCAATACGCAAAACACTGCCTTGAATATGATGGTAGGTTGTCATATCTTAATCTCAAGACAGGTAGAATGCCACCCCCATCATCCTGTAACTCCCAGATCTCACTTTCTCTATGCTTAAACCGCAGCATACTTCCAAGAGCTTTTAGGGCCAAAGGAACCCCTCCGCACTTTTGAACAATTTGCTTCCCGATTCTTGCCAATCATTTGTATCCCCCCTCGCTTTCCATCAGAAACGAAAGCTGCTTGAAGAGAAACCAAGAATTGTTGTCCGACAGATAGTCCAAATGGTATATAGGAAGAGTGGCCATGATAAGAGCAACTTTGGTCAAGACAGTTGAGCAAGAGTAGTCTTTCCAAGTCCACCCATGCCACAAATGGCATAAATGGACAAATCATTTCGATCAGCCGAAGTAGCCAACAACCCATTGTTTACGTTTTCTTTATCCTCAGTCCTCACTGAAGACACTAGTTTTTTTTCCATATGGTTTTTCTATTATTTATTTTATTATTATTATTATTTATTATTATTATTTATATTATTTTATATTATTATTATTAATAATAAAATATTATTTACAAATAGGCCCAATCAAAACTAGACCGGCCTAGTTACAAACAAAACAGACTGGCCCAAACCTAACAGAAACCCTAAAACCTATTTAGGGTTTGATCTCAGCTCCAGCCGCCGCTCCTCTTCTCAGCAGTTGGATCTGGCTTGATCCAACGACCCACAGCCTTCTAGATACAAACCCTCATACCCTAGGGCCACGTCCCAGCCGCCGCCTCTGCTGTTTCCACGCCAACGTTCCATCTGTTGCTGCCCAACCGAAGTCTCCAGAAGGTCTACGCCGGCCGTCCACGTCTCTGCTATATGGTGAGTCGCCACATAGTTTGGTGAACCACCAAAGCTTCCCCTATTGACCGGTCCGACGAAAGCCTCCTCGAAGCTATATGACTACACCTGCAAAAAGAAGAAAAAGCTGGACAAGGACGGGGAACCAAACAACAACGAACCAAACAACAACAAAACCACGAAAAAAAATAGAAATAAACCTTACCGAAGAGTCAGTCACCGAAGCCTCCAAATCTCGTCAGAAAACCAAAACACCGAAGGTATTTTTTGTAGATCTATGTAAATAGGAAGCTTTTTAGGGTAAACGAGGGTTAGTTTCGGTTTTAGATCACTCGGATCTATTATGTGGGAGTATTTGATGATTTCCGGCCACCACGTACGGTGGCCGGCAGTAGAGGTTGGCGGCAGCGCAAGACTGCCGGCCGATGACCAGCTTCCCTCCGGTGAGGGAAACTAGAGAGAAGCGAGAGAATTTGTTATTCTCTCTCAGTTAGAGAGAGAAAGTGAAAGAGGGAAATGAAAAAAATGGCCTTAAGGCCGTATGGTTTGGGGCTTAAATACCCCTCCCTGAATGCCACCGTTTTGGGAAGAGGTCTGTTTGTAATTTATTAAAGGTTAAACCTCGTCCGCAAACTATTAGTTTTGTAATTTTACATTATAGTCACTGGAATCAACTTTATAATCTTTTTAATTTGGCCTCTTAATTTGTTTATCTTATAATTTAGTCATTAATTTACTTATATACAATTTTAGGTAAAATGACCGAAATAACCGTTATAATTTTGTTAAATAATATTTTAGTCTCGAATAGCATGTTTTAATTTGTTTTAATTTAATATGTGAATGCTATATAATATTAATTTAATCACTAAATTAATAAATGGGTAAAATAGCATGATTAGACACTAAAATTTTAAATAAATTAATTGCGAATTAGATATTTAATTTTAATATATTCTAATTTAGTCATTAACTTTAAATTATTAGTTTTGTTTATTTTTGCTTTCATTTATTTTAGTTATTGTTTAAATTTTATATGTTTATTATTAATATATTTAAAATATTATTATTATTATAAATATATATAATAAATAATATTTATTTGTTTTATTTTACTTTTTATTAAAATCCTTTATATAAATTATTTTTATCCTATTTTAATAATATTAAAGAAAATGACTGTCTTAAAGTATCTAGAAGTCCGTTTTCTGATATTTTAATCCTATAAAATATATATTAATTTTTAAGAAATATTTTATTAATATTTATTTATTTTTTAATATCAAAGGAAAGAGCTGTCTTAAAGCACCTAGAAGTCATTTTCTGATATTTCTAAATAAATAAATATCTTATTTACATATAAAAATTAATAGAATTTCATAAAATTATAAATTCGAAATAACAATATTATAAATTAAATATATCTTTGAATTTATAAATTTCTGATAATAGAGACAATTTATAATTAATAAGTACCAATTTTGGGCGTTGTGGGGGTGCTAATCTTTCCCCAAACGTAATCGACCACGAATTTTTTTTATTAAAAGTTTTTGTTATACGCAGATCAGTTTTATATTTTAAATTATGTTTTCTTAAAAACTATTTTAAAAGATTGTTTTTAGGTATTTGACCTACTTAACCCAAAAAAGGTCAATGGCGACTCCCCAAAAATTTCTTTTAATCATACTCATTATTTATTCATTCTATTTTTTCCGCCAAGTAAAATTTCGTGCCCGGGAAAAAACCGGTTACGACGGCTTGGCGACTTTGCTGGGGACCTGGTCAAACTTTAAAATCAATTACAAATTGTCTCTATTAATTAGAAATTAAAAATTCATATATTTAATTTATAATTCTTTCTTTTCCAAATTTCTATATATACTTATTATTTTCACAATATTTATATATATACTATTTTATTAATGTTTTATTTTATTTTTTAAGTATTAAATTTCATTTTTATTTTATTTGTCAGAGGTTTGAAAATTTCGCCTCACACACACCACTTGTATTGCATAACATAAGCTTTATAATCAAGCTTGCCCCTTTTAAGTGGGAGTGAAAGCGACGTCTTCGTGAGAATTTATTCTCCGTGTCAGACCTAGCAAGTAGCTTTCGAGGTTCATATACCCTATGTCTTCGTGAGAATTTATTCTCCGTGTCAGGCATAGAGAAGTGTATCCCCTCGAATTGAACTTGATCCACTTTAGTCTGTGATGGACTAGGATTGACGGTTAGCTGCCCAAGGGGGCACTAACAAGGACAATTCAGGTTCCTTTATTCTTAGATCTGAAACTCTGCATATAATAAACCCTAGAAACTCTTCCGATCTGAAACCATGCCGAAATTTTGTCCAAAATAGGTGTACACAAAGGAGAAATGAATTCTAACTTTTTCCTTTTAATTTATTTATTTATTTTCTTGCTGAATAAATTGTATGTGAATTAAAGTATGTAGAAAGCATGTCTAAATAGAAATATTTAGGTAGACATTATTATTAAATGAATTTTTTCCTTTATTATGTGAACTAATTCATTTCTTTTTATGTGTTCTTTTATTTTTGTTGTTTGCATAGCATCATACAGGATAAAAGGTATTGATCTTCAAGTTAATCGTCTCATTGGAAAACCTTCATCTATGGATAAAAAGTGTTCAAATCAAATAGTTCCAAACTCAGAAGTAAGACAGTGGGCTGAAGACTTACAGAGACAAGGGGGAGACAGTATGCAGGATGATTATGTACCTGAGTTGGCAAGTTATGCTCCAGTTTCACTAAAAAGAAATGATATGAAAGATTTGCGAGGCATTTGGGAGAGTTGGGATTCAAATAGAAAGATGCAATTTTACCAGTTTTACAGGGACATCCCATATTTGCTCTATGTCAAAGTTGATGATGACTTACTTCGAGCCCTAATTCAATTCTGGAATCCAGGGTATAATTGCTTCACTTTCAATAAGGAGGACTTGGTTCCTACTATTGAAGAGTACACAACTTTACCACATATAGAAGGGGCTTTGGAGAATCGAATTTATTCAAGGTCAATTAAAACTCAACCTTTCCGAGTTAAATTAGCAAAGATTGCAGGAGTACGAGAAGAATGGGTGGTATCCCGCATGAAACAAAAGGGCGAAGGCGAAGGCATTGCTTGGACCAACATCAAAGAAATTATTCAGAGTCATCCAGATGATAAAGTACGATTTGATCTTTTTTCTCTGGGTATATATGGTATGGTCATTTTCCCGAAAGCATTGGGATACATTGAGGCTGCAGTAGTAGATTTGTTCGAGCAGTTGCAAAAAAAGATCAATCTTGCTTCTGCAATTCTAGCAGAGACTTTTCGATCGTTAAGCGCTTGTAGAAGGCTAGGAGGTGGATGATTTTCAGGATGTGCACCATTATTATATGAATGGATCCGTAGACATTTTTGGAGGACAGAAAAGGTCTCTTACCGTCACTTTAATACTGATTACTCACCGTTGAAAGAGTTTCTGGAGCAAAAATGGCCGAAAGAAGTCACGAAAGATATGTGGATCAATGCCCTTCGAAATCTACAAAGCGACGATATCATTTGGCGTGCCCCGTGGAAAATTCAAAGGGAGTTCTTTTACAAATGTGGTGACTACAACTGGGTGATGCTACTTGGCTTGTGGGGAGGAATCGAATATGCACCACTTCTGGTTATAAGGTAGTACGAGGGTCATCAATTTGTTCATGTTACTGCTGGATTACATTCGTCTGAGTTCGCTTTTCATAGCAAAAATTACAAAAGAAACATCATGGATGTTATTACAGCTTGGAAAAAAACTTTCTGTATTCGAGCCAAAGCAGCGAAGGTAATACTAACTCCTGATTATGAGGAATGGATGTCTGTCAGGAAAATGCAAATATCCCTCTACCAGATCAAAATGAGGATATCTCTATGAAAGATCGTATTAGGTCAGTTCCATCAGAGATTGAAATCTTAAGAGCTGAGTTTGAAGCAGAAAGAGAAGGTTGGTCGAAAGAATTAGAGCAAATAAGACGAGATAAAGCTATGTTGGGCGTTGACTTTCATTCAGCATAATGTGCAATGTTGAGGGAAAACAAAGAAAAAGTTGATGGTGAGTTCATAACGTTAAAGAAGAATTACCATGAGCTACACAAATCCTGGAGAGCGTCAGCACAGATGACCAAAGAATTGAATATTGAGAAATGTCGAGTTGAAAGAAAATAATAGCCGTTTACTCAAAAGCCTTGAGAAAGGAAAACAGAAAATGGAGGATTTTGAGGTTGACAAAAGAGAGCGAATTATAAAGTACAAAGCTGAAAGTCGAGAGATCATGAATGAAATGCAAAAAGAAAGGGATCGAGCCAAAGAATTAGAAAATATGAAGAACAACATGCTTGAAAGATTTGAAGATGATAAAAACACCATGTTCAAGGGATTTGAATTTGAAATGAATAATATGATTGCCGAGCTTGAAGTTAGGGGCCAAAGGATTGAAGATTTCAATGTTGAAAAAGAAAAATGGGAGCTGGAAATGAAGAATTTCAACACCAGACTTGAAGTAGAGCAAGAAGTGGCCATCACTTGGATGCAATGATGTAGAAACAAGAATGTG